CACACTTCCTTGCACGTCCACATTCAGAAACACGCACACACATCCACGACAGCGTTTCTGGCATGTGTTCCTCCCGCGGTGTGAAGGCACTGGCGACAAGGGCGTTGCACCAACTGCTTTTGCTGCAGCCACCTCCGAATCGCAGACGTGGCGATGTCAGAAAGTGGAACAACCATACAGTCGTTTTTCCATTTTTAGTTTCACTGCTTCAAATTGTCCAAATGAACCGTAAAATGCCGGATGTTGGATCCAAGTTGCTGTGATATGTCTTAGTATTATTCACGTCTACGTGTGATCGCCGTTAGTCCTAGCATCACTCTGCTCCCCGACAGGGTCTGGCTCTCAAAATTGATTCAGTTGTCGTGAAATCAATGCCAGCTACTTACACGACTCGATTCAATAAGCCACGGCTTCTGACACTCTAGATAATGAAGGCGGTTGAATGCCACTGTCACTTCGTCTCCTACCAAGAAGGACCTGTTCAGAGGGTCTACTTTCAGCCAGATATCTCAGGTGAAGCGCAACGCTGTTGTTGAAACGTTTTGCGGTTAAAGACCACAACCATCTATCAAGAAATTGGCGTCACCTTCATCTGCGTTCAAACGGTTTCAAGCAATTTGCTTGATGTTTACAGAATTTTTATTCTAGAGGCATCTCCATCACAGCGGCCGTCACTTCTGGCTAGATACACCTGGCACAATCCAGCAGTGGTGGAATTAAAGAGGCAATTTTTGGTTACCTTAAACTACCAGGCGGTGGGCTGCAACCAAAAACCATTATTCAGTTGTGGTACCTCAAAATTATTTTCCCCTGTGACGCTACGAAGGTGGTACCTGAGGCGATTGGTTCCTTAGAGGTCATGGCACAGCAGGAGGCGTTTTTAGTATGAACGAGTCAACTGGTTAAGAGGAACGCTTTCTCAAGTCACACTTCGTGGCTGACGAAAAGCAGCACTGGTGGTGGTAGAAGAGCCACAAATGAGGTGATAACACCTCTGATGCTTGGCTGATACAGCAACAAGCATGCACGACCACAAACACCCTCCACCCTCCGACTACTTCGTCGGGGGCTCCACTGATGAAGTCACGGGTTTGCGAGTGAGCTGCCGAAAACTCGAATTCGGACAACATCAACGTCCTGACAACTCGGTTTCTTAAATCTGAGAGCAGACAATTGCACGAGTTTACACGAACACCGCCCACACACAGAGAGACTGAAGTCGAATTTTCTGGAAAAGCGGGACGACGATGTGCGTGACACGAACACCGCCAGACTAGCGTTCATCGGAGAAAGTGCAGAATCCTGATCCGTCAATCAAGTGGCAGAAAGTGCACATGTGGCGACCCTCAGAATACACTGATTCAGTCAGAGAAACTGCAAATGCTGTCTCTCGTTAGTGGGCCCTTCCGTCAGACAGCGCCTTAACTCTAGTTTTTACTTCAAAAGTGTCACACGAAACGTTAAATACTGAAGTGGTGCAAGTTGAAGAAGCGAGGTCACGACATCTCCTCCAACACGGTCATCACTTTGGTTGCAACGACCCCCGCCTGCACGCACGCACGCACGTGCCAATGGGTGGAAGAGGCGGAAGTGCGGCTGCTCACAGCGACCTCGTTTCCTGACTTGCGTGCACTCGCTGCCTCCGCCACCGCCTCCACCGTCTGATACTTCTCACGCAGGCGTCGCTTTCTCCCACTCCCTACAACTGTTAATTAGCCTTTGATGTCGAGGACAACGACACATCCAACGTGGACACGACACAGTCACGATGGGGCAATCGAAGGCGGGCAGTCCAACGCCCGGACGGTGTTGGTAGTGACAACGTGTAGCACTGTTGTCACCGCCCCTGTTTACAACCAAAGCGTACGCTTCACCGCTAAACACTCAGATGTGGCACGACTGGGATTCCAACTGATCCCATAGTCTCACACAAGTGATTTGATTTGTAGATGGAGTAATTTGTGTAAGGTGCAACCCCGTCACCTTTTTATCAAAGTAGTCTAGAGTGTCTAGACATTCGTCCGTTAAACTTTTTAGATTACCGAACATCAAAGCAAAGCACCTGACTAATGAGGAGTGCCATTGCAAAAAAAACTGTCCAAACCGACTGGTCTTTCAAGTCGGAAAGTTAAAAAGTGATCCTTTTTTGAACCAGGAGCACCGGCTGCGTGGTGAGAAGAAATAGCCTAGGAAGATGGTCGAAAAGTGTTGACGAATGGACACGATTTGTCCAGAAATTTTATACATGCTTAATCGCGAAACCACACATATGTACGGGACCATCTGGCTTGTTGCTGGCCTCCTCAATGTCACTTACATTATGAAAACACGCTGCACATTTAGGAAAGGTAGCCAGGATACAACATTTATCGGCAATTTAGAGGTCAGATGTTCCAACCAATCACAAGTGAATACGGTGTTTCGGACGCTTCTGAAAATGCAACATCACCTCCGTCACTCCAATATCAGCTCGTGAGTAGAATTGGCCCCATCAAAACATCACTTGATTCACAAAATTTGGCAACGAATATTGCGAAAACTCTTGACACACCTGAACACCCTGCTTCCACATTTGTTCCATCTCTGTTCCTTCCTCAAATCCACACCTGACAGTTTCCCGCTAAATAGTGGATTTCTTTTGATTTGCCGTGTCGTTGAGCACTGCGGTAGACATCAAGCTTCAGCGTGTGTGTTCTGATAGTGAAATTTGAAAAATTGACGAACATTTCTCTCGCTCTATTCACCACGACTAAATGGAGATTAATGACATTGCGAGGGACGTCGGTGAAATCCTGCGCCAGCTGCAGGTAGGCTGCGCCATGAGTGCTTAGGTGAAGAGCTTAATAGCAGTGGGTAATCACCATCTCAGAGGTGGCCAGGCGAGGCACTTCATGGGAACGTAAATCATCCGTCGTTTGCTTAACTATGCGCGCGTTTCCGCGAGTTCTCTTCCAGGGCTACCGAAGTCCTGCCGACAATCCATCACGTCAGGTGCGGTGGTCCACTTCAAGGCGGAAGTCCTAGTAAGAGTGCTCCCTGTGTGTCGCTCTTGAGTCTTCCGGTTCTCACTGAAGGACAATCATTCAGTGATTGGTGCTTTGTGTATCATCAACCCAGTAAATAATGCATCCTACGCCACTGTGAACTAATGCCCATCGCTTGCTCTGTCCATTTCGCCATAACATTGCAACATCTATTCAAATGTCAAGTGTAGGCTGTGGTGTCGTTGCGTTCTGCACCAGCGGCCAATAGACGTTGGCTGCATCATTTGGGTGCAAAATTTGTCTTGTCTGAGGCCGGAAAACACAGTTGCCCATGCACGAAGTGGAACAGCGTGTGTCCTTGCAAAAAATGCCCAATTTCACTCGAGATGAATTAATCAATGCCTTTAGAAAACCGATTGGGTATCAATAGTCATCAGGAGTTTTATGATTGTCGTCTTTATATTTGCAGCTAATTATTTTCAACAGGCAACGAGCCATTCATCAACGCTTCCTGGAAAAATTTTCTTGTTTTAATCAATCCTGGGAAATGTCCTCACATAATCGTTGGTGTCCTTTCACGACCACTCCAAAATTGTTACGTGGTTAAAGATTGTCAACGAATACGTTTGATTGGTTAGTGCATGTGAATTCTTGGAAGCAGCGACAACTAAGTACATTAGATCGGTGCAGGAGTACGCTCTACTGCTTTCAGTCCTTTATCAACAGCTAATCTCAGCACGGAATCAAAATTGATTATCCGTTGGTTGCCAATTTTAAGACCCTGCTTGTGTCTGTGCTTTTATAATTCAACATAAATACACCAGTTACCTTCGCCAATGATAATGCGATGGAAGGAGCTTGATTTGTGTCAATGCGTGTCCCCGTGCCACGCAAGCAGATCGGACACAGCTGTGATGTGTCGACGCTTTTGGATCTCGGTGAAATGACGCGACACCCACGTTTCCAACATTTGGACCTGGTTCATCGACTCCAGGTCTGCTCAGATAACTTCTGCTACGTGGTTTGGCGTCCATGTTACTTTGAAATCGGCTGGACGTTGAATATTGACGTTGTCAAGATTGGCAAAGTATTTCTCTGCCGTCTGATTATGGATTGCCAAATCGACCAATTGCGTGATGAGTGTTCCTGGCACGACTTCACCCGCCTCACTTAATGTCTCGGCTGTGGGGGAGTGTGGAAGAGCGAATAAGAGCCTCCAGCGATGCCCCGTGGTCAAACGCCCCAGGCACCGACCCTTTAATTGGACTTCTTCACCCTAATCTAGCAAAGACAACCCCCCTAGACAGCCTGGAGTGTGATTAGAAGAGGCTACCGTATGTCCATATTCTCCGGGCTGGTGTTTGGCCCTTCCCCCGCCAACTCCTGATTGACTTCCTCCCTTTGTTAGGCGGACCTTCATTCAACTCATGTCTAGTATGGAGAGCAGAGGGTACCAGCGCTTGTCTTTTGCGTCTTCGGTCTAATTGATTGTGCTTTAAACATCCAGGACGATCAGCCGGGGCCACGTGTTAATGAGGTCGTGTAAAATCTTTAACCTTATCCAGCTTGAGGCTCTTATTGACGAACTTCATTGTTCTATTCATTACGCTGAAGCCACGACAAGTTGACGATAATCGGGTGAGTACCCATTTTCCACTGCGAGGCAGGCGATATGCGTTATCCCAGACACAAACAAACGCGATTTCCTTTTCCAATGATACCGACTTCTTTACCCTTTGAAAGGACTTTTCTACTGACGATCACACGGGATTGGTTTGTTTCTTCTTCTGATGTTTTGTCAACCGACTATTAATTAGGCAAGGTCTAAGACAGACCTGTGTCCTTGCACAAGCAGTATGGGTCGAAACACAAACGAGCATGAATGCTAAGGAGGAGGAGGAGGAGGAGGAGGAGAGAGGAGCAGCGGCAAGATGAAAAGTAACATCAAAGACTTTGAATTGGCAAACAGGCGCCTTTGGAGACCTCACAAACAAACAAGAAAGGCCCTTTTCCCTTTCTGTGTAAAGCCGTGACGGCTTAGTCAGAGGTTGGCGGGAATCGAGGTCATGAAAAATGTCGACAACAATTGGTGTAAGGAAATGACACGAATTGGCAAAGATCAAACAGTATTTCGCGATTTCTGGATTTTGTTTGCGTCTAAAACCTTTGTTTTACGAGTTCAATAACAAATTCGGCGCGATCCCCAAATCTGCCACAGCGCGCAATCGGATTTTATCGATTTTCAACTTTGGCCTGCATGTTGACAGAAAAAAGTGTAAATTTTAACTAACTGGCTTTGCCCTTTTTCATCATATGGTTAGATCTTAAATTCTAAAGAGGGAACATGCTTAGAAATAACAAAACGGTCTTCTATTCAGAATTAAAAGACTTCGAAATGACGCTGGATATCCCATTAAGGAAACTTAATGTGAAAACGCGAAACCTTGAGCTCAAAAGACCTTGTACTTTCATCTTGAAGGGCCAGAATTAAGGTAATTCATTAATTTCAAAAAAATTGGAATTTAAGACTGATTCGGTGTTCTACAAACTGATTAATGTGGGCGCGGTTGTAAAAAAATTTAGCTTAAAAACTTTGGAGGAAGAGCACTCGACTACTTTCGAAATTTAAACCAAACAAACACATGTAAGACTCATTTGAAATAACATTTTTGAACTTCTCTTGCCTTTCCAACAATACGTAGTCATTAAGTGTTTGAAAGAAGCTCTGTCTTCTCACCTCTTTAATTACCCATCACTCTCCAGGTGTAAAAGCCTGCCGAACATCACTCACAAGTTATTACCGTTCAATCAATAAAAGAGCTTCACTCAATGATTTGTGTTCACACATTACTGTTGCCATGTGCCCCCCCGGTTATGCTTGCATAAATCACCAATTACAACAAGCATTGAACTGATTCTGACTTGTTTGAATTCATCTCTGACCTCCATAACGCGCCACATTAGCATTTAAAGTGTCACTACGCCCGCCGATGTCATGGAGATTAAGTCTTTTCGATGTACTGTTGTGAATCGTGCTTATTCACACCCTTAATCCGGTCGCTCCACCTCCGCCCCATGTCACCAGCCGCGCGGATCCTCAACTCCCTCTTCATTCACTCGAATATTTATCTCGGATTATCCTCACACCTAGGTCTCAATGTTAGCGCATCTATGATTCACGCATCTAAGGTATAAATACACACGACACCAACGTGGTTGAGCTCTGAATTAAACGGTTGTGTCCACGGCCTCTTGGGTCTTTTTTCTTCATCGCGGGTATCAAGGAAGCGTAATCGGGCCAGGGTTAATTCCGTGGCCCCGGCGTGGTTCAAGACCACATGCTGGGACCCACAACTGTACTCTGGACTGCATTCATACCAATGTGAGGTACATTCAAATTAATTTAACATTAAATGGTGGAATTTTGTCGATAATCACTCACGCGTTTAACACATCTCACTGAACATCACTCAGGGGGCAACACTTGACCTCAAAACACCACGACACAACCCTCCTCCCTCTAACGGGTGAATAAACAAGCGTGTCATCAGCACATCTGACCCCCCTAATATGACCTAGTTCCCGAGTGTGGTCCAGCCGGCCATGTCCACGTAGTTTAGAATTTCAAAAAAAATGCGTTTTCTGCACTGTTGTTTAACGACAACAAACGCTGCTTTAGAA